ATCCTGCACCTCAGACAACCATCTAAAGGCTACTATCGACGTGGTGGGGACGCCAGTAGCCTTGGGAGCGCATCGTGGAGAAGGACGAGCCTGGTTGCGTCAGCAGCGTTTCGCGCCAACTCTCAAAGATCGTGACGTTAAAGTGGATTATGTCGTTGGCGTGTTGCGCAGTCGCCGTCCCGAGGACCTCGAGCGACATATGAAGGCTGCGCGCCATTTGCAGCTCCGTCATGTCCGCGCCGATTGCGGCGACCTTGGTGTAAGCTAATGAAAGCTCCTGGGTTGTCTGCGTGCGCTGCTTTTCCTTTTTGCAAATCTCTTGCAAATGCCCCGACACCGTGTCTCGACGCGCTGCCTCCAACAACGAATCTACATCCCGGACTTAAACCACGCAGATTGTGTACAGTTGGCGCACCAGTGGACGCTTGGTTCGGGCCAACGTGGCTGCAGTGTCTGGTTGGCGAAGATATCGTGTGGGAGGGACGTGTCATGCGCAGGCGCCAGCAGAGTGCTAGAACACTTTTGGGGCCCAAAATGTCTACTCCGTTTTGGGGGGCTGCCTTGGGGTTGCTCCAGACCATGATCGTTTTGATTTGCCGTTGGGAACACAGATGACCAGATAGACAGATCTACCCGCGGCCGGCTGACCAGGTTCATCGCAATTCATGAAAACAGGCCAAGATCGCTTGGTCCAAGACATAAAACGACCGAGCGAAATGCGCATCGTGACTTCAACCTCGCAGCTCGCACTACATGTGGGAGCGATGTAATATGGCTCTCAACGGGCACCTGACCACGGGCAGTTGCTTTGCACCACGGGAGCAAGGTGTCCTCGCTGTATGCACGTCTTGACATCAAGTCGAGTGAGCAGTGGCGTACTTAAAGCTCGTGTCGGGCGGTCGAGGTCACGGAACCTGCTGCATGCACCAACAACCAATATGTGTGCCATGGGCACCGTCTTGCGTGGGTACTGCCACGTCTCTGGCATAGAAAATCGTTCCAGTTACGTTTTTTTGGACAAGGGCATCGTCAATTGATCGAAATCGACTGCGGACATTGAGCTTCAAGGGCTCGAGCGCAGCGATTTCTCAAGCTCACTCTTGTTCTAGTCGTCATTGCTCCATAGGAAAATGACGGGTGCAATATTTCCCTCAGTCATCTTTTCTCATATAGGAAAACACACTTTGAGCATGTCACAGTGTGGCCTCAAGACGACGTCTTCATCTGCAAGAAATCGAGGAGACAATGAAGCTCCTTTCGCGCCGTGGCTGAGAGCCCCTTGGTATTGAGCGTGCCCTGGCGCAGCATGTCGAGCGCATATTCAAAATACCGCGCATCTTGGTCGATAAAATACGCGCCTACGCCATCCTGAGTGTTTGGAACCAACGGCATCATCGGTCAACCGTCGTCGTCACGGGGCGTCCAGTGGCCTTGGGAAAGCATCGCTTGAAAGAACGTGTCGGGCTGCTTGCAAAACGTCGCGCCGCTGCGCAGCGCCAAGAGTGTTGCGCGACTGGCTTCAAAGAGAGTGCCGCCGACGTTGAGGCGGATCGTGTCGTCGGCAATGGCCGCCTGGGCTTGCACAAGCTTCTCGAGCGCATCGCGGCGACTTCGCGCCGTACGCAGCGTTGCAATCTCGGCCTCGATAGCGGCGGCCGATCGCTCGTACTCGTCCGTGACCTTCTTCAGACCCTTTTGGCGCTCCTCTTCCGCTCGTCGAATACGCTGAAGCGTCGCAGCAAGGGTCGTGGTCGAGGCTGCGACGAAGCAAGAACAATGGGTACACCGTCATGCGTCGGGGAGGCCGTCGTACCTGGGACGGTCGTTGCCCTGTCGTTGCTGCTAGCAGCGACGGGCGTAACGGCTCCAAAAGTAGTGGCGGGAGCGGAACCAAACCCTTGGCTTGTACTAGTAAAGCCCGTTGCTTGTGCCACCCCAAAGGCTGGACCTCCAGAGCCAAATCGGGTTTGATGGCCAAAGGCGGGTGCGGCGCCATACGGAGAATCCCCTCGTGTCGAGGGGGGTGGGGTTGGAAGAATGGACTCCATGGCCAGCGCCCGCAATGTGAAATAGAGCTGACTTCTCGCCGACTCGGAGAGTCCGTCGGCGTCCAAATGGCCCGTGCGAAGGTACGCCATGACCCGATCAAAGTACGTGTAGTTGCCGTCGATAAAGTAGGCGCCTACAGCACTTTCAAGACGCGAAGTTACCGACTTGGTTTGTACCATCCCGTGCGCGGGGCTGCCACGTCTCGCTCGTCACCATCGCATAAAAGAACGAGTCCGCATCCCGTAAAAGATTGTCCTTGCTCGTCTCGAAGACGCGGCCCCCAACGTTGAGCTTGATGGTCTTGGGCGCGACAGCAGCGTTGGTCTCGAGTCGTGCTTTCTCGGTTGCCGCCGACGCTTGGAGCTCTTGCAGCTCGTTGAGCAAAGCCGCTAAAGTCTTGTCGACATCCGTGAAGACCTCGTTGATTTCCGCCGTCTTGGTCGAGTCATTGCATCGCAGCGTTTGCAGCTCCTTCAGAATTGCTGCGTAGGTC